ATGCTCCCTCAAAAATAATGAGTGCACGACGCCCCTGCCCCCCTCCACTTCACTTTCTGTCTACAATACTGTTCTAACCCCCCCAAAAAAGGCAAAAACCCCAAAAATAAGTTTAAAGAATTTTTTTATATATTTGTAACACTATACCCAACTCATGCTCCCTCAAAAATAATGAGTGCACGACGCCCCTGCCCCCCTCCACTTCACTTTCTGTCTACAATACTGTTCTAACCCCCCCAAAAAAGGCAAAAACCCCAAAAATAAGTTTAAAGAATTTTTTTATATATTTGTAACACTATATTGCAGTGTTATATTCCAATGTTTGCCATTGAAGCAAATAGGGAAACTAAAATGATATTTGCTGTGGTCTCCCACGTATATGCCTGTAGAAGTTAACCCTGCTATAATTAATTCCAAACCCAGAAATGTGAAACTGCTCCCTCACTGTCAGTATAAACCCCGGTTATGAACGGAAAGCTTGTTTGTACATCTCTGCACAGCATGTTAACTCCTTAAAAACTGCTCAAAATCTACATGGGAAAAATTGGTCTATAAGACACCCCCAAACATGCCCCACAGCCCTGAGGAATGGAATATCATATCATTATGCAAATTTGAAAAAAGTCATGTTCTCATCACGGATCGTGCTTGTGTTGTCATGTTTGTGGTTTGTGACAGATACAAGGGAGGAAGATGGCAGCTTCAGTTAAAGGCCAGTGAATCTGACTTTTGTCCCAGAGGAGACGGTACAGTCTGGGCCCAGTTCCACCAGCCAATTATTCCCTCCGTATACTGCCTGCTGCGAGCCCTCCTACAGGCAGCTGTCCTTCCTGGCGCCCAGTGACTAAATTTGACAAAAATAGGAAATCTCTGTAGAGCTGCGCTTGTAATTTAATCCAAAAGGTGTTTCTTTTTTGAACCGAGTTTAACACAGTCTCTGTAATGCGAGCTTGGCCGCTGCAAATGGAATGGTAATTGCTTTTCGCTTCCCAGATATGTGAAAAGGACACACGAATCATCTCCGGAGAGGGATGGTTTTCAAAACCATCAGCACTGGATGTTTTTTTCCCCCCTCCTCTCATACTCCGTCACCACCATCATTCACCTTGACAGGGAAGTCATTAAATTGGTGATGTTGAATTCCTTTTACTGTTTTGTCAGGATCACTTATTCCTTCAACCTTGAAATCTTCTTTCTTTCCCACAAAAGCAGCTCCATTACTGTGAGACGAGGTCTTAATTTTCATGAATTTCAAATCATTCCAGCACATTTGTTACAAAAGAAATTAGTGTCTCGAGCTATATTTCCGTTAGACATTGTTTTATATACTCCTTTAAAGTATGTTATAGCATATGCGTGAAATGTAGAAAATGAAAAGAAATATGTGTGCAGTATGTGGGGAGTGACGTTCATACTTCATGCCTGAGATAGCAGCACAATGATCTTCTTATTTATAGCTTCTCTGTTGAAACAGTACTACATTACAGCATTTAATCTTCCGTTAAAGTTGATTCATAATTTGATATGAAGCTGCTTACTCAATGTCTCTTGCATATATTAAAATATCAGTCATTATTTACACTACTGTTCAAATTTTGTTTTTTTTCTCAAAATAATACTTTTATTCAGGAAGGACATATTAAATCGATCAAAAGTGAGAAAGTACATTTATAATGTTAAAATTATTTCTATTTCAAATAAATGCTGTTCTTTTGAACTGTCTATGTATTAAAGAATTTTGGGGAAAAATGTATTGTGGATTTCACAGCAAATCTGCATATTAGAAATATTTCTGAAGGACCATGTGACTGAGGACTGGTGTAATGACAGCTGAAAATTCAGCTTTGACATCACGGGAATAAATTACATTTTAAAATATATTAACATGGAAAACTAATATTCACAATATTACCGTTTTTACTGTGTTTTTGTCAAATAAATGCCGCCTTGGGAAGCATAATAAGACATCTAAAATCATTTAAAAATCTAACCGACCCCAAACTTTCGAACTTTTTTTTTTGTTTGTTCAGTGTTTTTCATCTTAAAAGGATGTCATCATATTTTATCAAAATGTCATCATATCATTTACTCGCATTCCTATCATTCCAGACTTATATTACTTTCTTATTTTTTACAAAAGTAGAAATTATTTTAAAAAATTATAAAATGATAATATAAAATGTACGCTTTTTCAATATCTCCAGTATGCTTTTTCTATTATCATAAAAGGTATCTATATGACTACATGTCTTGTGAAGCTGTATGACGATCTGTCATATAGGTTTGAAACCATATGAAAGTAAGTAAATGACAACCTTAATTTTTGAGTGAATTATCTCTTTAATTGGTTATCCAGAGCTCTCAGCTGCTCTAGAAAGCCTGAGTTGGGACAGATGTCCCTGTTCAACCTGACAGCTATGATGGCGTCCGTAAGAGTGAGGTTCTCACACATCATGAGGAAGGCCAGGACCAAGGCTCCGGAGCGACTGACTCCCATTGCGCAGTGAACCAGCACTTTGCCTGCAGTACACAAAGAACCTCCTAACTTATTCGGTATCTCTTACAATGGTTATGATTTACATATTTCACTTATTAAAATGACTATTGCCTGCTGACTTTGCACGGCTCCATTTATTCTTTTGCTCTTCTGCTTTTAATTTCAATACAATCACTGACAAAATTTGTCAGAAAAAGGTCAAGGAAGTCAGACTTGCCATTTTGAGAGAGTGCAGCTTTAATGAAGGATGCAGTGGAGCAGAAATACTGGCTCAAATCGAACTGTGGGTGATCTGAAGCCTCCACTCCACAGTAACTTATACTCATGTCTGAGTAGAACTGGGCGCCCGTGTTAATGCGATGCGGTCCGTCGGCACAGTTTACAACGTGAGTGATTCCCAGATCAGCGAGGAGTCCTTTATCACGAGCCATTGACCTGAAATGAGCGGCTGTTTAACACGTCTTCATGTTTTGATTACATCATTTAGGTAGAATAAATTGTAAACACAGACACCTGTAGTGTGAAACTTTGGATTTTCACCAGTATCTTGGTTAGATCTGTTTTACTCCTAAGACTGTGATGGTTGAGTACTTACTCATCTCCGATGTACAGGCCGGGCCAGATAAGACTGACAGGTCCGAAAGGCTGTCTGTTTGTCAGCAGCAGGCACCGCAGATCTGATATAGATGGCGTCTCATACACTGCCTGCAGCTGAGAGGCCAGTGGTTTGTCTTTAGGAGCTTTTCTGTCAAAAAAAGGTTAGAAATATCTGGAAACAAAGATATAGCCTTATATAGCCTGTGTTAATTCAATGCACGTGTTCTGAGTAGAATGATCAATGCACATTTTCATGGGACAGTTTGTATTTACACATATTACACATTTGACCTTTCTGCTTCTGTAATCATGTTTGCCTTCACAGTCACCGGTGAAAATTAACAGATAATTCCTGAGGTACTGTGTAATTTATTTCACATACCAACAAGAAAAGATATGTTTCAGAGGGAACAATGTGACAGTTTTGGTCTGTTCCACTGGACTGAGAAATTATTTAAGTGCTTTATCATCACATTCTTGTTTGGTCATCAATATCCGTAGGTCACAACACCAGTGTTTTTGACCAGAAACCGTAAATATGTTGAAGCATATGATACCCATTAGAAACTCACTACAGGAGACCAACCCTTAAGTCATGTAGCCATGCATGGCTCTTCCACCTTCCCATTATAAAGAGCAAGCCAAAACAGTTTCATTTCGCTCCAGTAAAAAAACCAAACATGCTTGCTGGCTCATTTCGAGACAAGTTCAAAGTATATCTCATCTGGAAGAAATTTAAAATCCTGCCATTTATTTTGCGACCCTGCTGCCCTTTGGAGGCTATTTACTATTTATGGGGAAACCCTTCTATTTATGGGGAAACCCTTCAATTTTACCTTCTGATACCCACTTTGGTATTGCACTACAATGGATATTAGCAAATCAGATCTGGCCCAATAGAACTGGGTCAAGGCCATGGGAAAGGAGGCCCTTAAGGGATGTGCTCTTGAAATGGGATTCATCACATTGTTACCAAGTTTTCAGTTACAATTTGTAAGCTTCCAGTTTTTTCTTCCTCTCTCGGACGAGGCTCATGTCAAGATGTCGAAGCTGGTTAAGAAAGCCAGGATTAGGAGAGATGTCCCCATGTTGCCGTACAGCTTTAATGGCCTCCATTAGTGTAAGATCCTCACAGATCATGAGGAAGGCCAACACCAGGGTGGCAGAGCGGCTCACTCCCATCAGACAATGGACAAACACTCTTCCTGAAGAACAGAACAGAACAGAATCAATGCATGACATTTTTACAGTGCAAATGCTACTTTTAGTAGGTTATAGCCAAAAGACTGCTTCATTGGTTTTGTAAGGTTGTACTGTTTTAAGCCTTCAAACCTCAGGTCAAGTCAGTTTATAATCTAGGTTCAGTTTTAATTAATTTAATACATTTTAATAAACATATATACTGAAAAGGGAATGTGAGAGGTAATTGTTTTCTAAATGACCTAATTAGCCAAAGCATAAAAATACATAAAAGAACGGAAAATAAAAGAATGGACACTTCTTATATAATGGTATTTAATACAATCGATTAATTTCTAATCACAAGTTTTTATGCAACCTTGGGCTATGTTCACGTTGCATTTATACAGTTTTGAGTGCGAATTTTCGAGCTGCTTTCAGTGCTTTGGAAAAATGAATCATTCTGTGAATCAGTTCGGTATGGTTCTATTTTTTCCTGAGTTTCGAAAAGCTCATTTTTCTCATCACTGTTTGCGTTACATCCCGCGCAAACAACATTCTAGGTGTTGTCTACGCGTGTGAGCCAGGAATATAATGCACAATCTGGTGATCATGTATTGTGCCGCCAATTTTAAAAACTACTTGAAAAAGAAGCTGTAAAATGGAAATAAAAATAGACAAACGTGGAAATACCATGTTTAGTACAGTCATGGCCAGACGTTTTGGCAGTGACATAAATTTTGTGTTTTGCAAAGTTTGCTGCTTCAGTATTTGACGATTATTTTTTCACATGTTTCTATGGTATACTGAAAAACAATTATAAGCATATATCATAAGTTTTAAAGGCTTTTATTGGCAAAAAATATATAATGAGTCAATATTTACAGTGTTGACCCTTGTTCTTCATAACCTCTGCAGTTCGCTCTGGCATGCTGGATATTAGCTTCTGGGCCAAATCCTGACTGATGGAGATCCATTCTTGCCTTATTAGTTCTCGGAGTTGATCACAATTTGTGGGCTTCTGCTTGTCCACTTGTCTTTTGAGGACTGACCACAGGTTCTCAATGGGATTGAGATCCGGGGAGTTGCCTGGCCACGGATCCAAAATTTCACTGTAATGATTTCAAGCCACTTCTCTATCACTCTTGCTTTGTGACATGGTGCTCCATCATGCTGGAAAATGCACGGATCATCGCCAAATTGCTCATGGATCATTGGAAGAAGTCGATCGCTCTTGCAGGATGTTTTGATACCATTCTTTATTTATGGTAGTGTTTTGGGGCAGAATTATGAGAGAGCCCACTCCCTTGGTTGAAAAGCAACCCCACACATGGATGGTCTCAGGATGCTTCACTGTTGGCACGTCACAGGACTCAGGACACAGTTCACCTTTCCTTCTCCAAACAATTGATTTTCCAGATGTCCCAAACAGTCGGAAGGGAGCTTCATCAGAGAAAATAACATTGCACCAGTCTTCTGCTGTCCAATCCTTGTACTTCCTGCAGAATTTAAGTCTGTCCTTGACGTTTTTCTTGGAGAGAAGTGGCTTTTTTTGCTGCTCTTCTTGACACCAGGCCATTGTCAAAGTCTTGGCCTCACTGTGCATGCAGATGCTCTCACAGCAACCTGCTGCCATTCCTGAGCAAGCTCTGCACTGCTGGTGACACGATTCCGTAGCTGACTCCTCAGGAGGAGATGGTCCTGGTGCTTGCTGGACACTCTGGGACGTCCTGAAGACTTCTTCACTGCAGTCCAACCTCTCTCCTTGAAGTTCTTGATGATCCAGTAAATGGTTCTTTCAGGTGCAATATTCTTTGTAGCAATTTTCTTGCATGTGAGGCCATTTTGATGCAAAGCGATGATGGCTGCATGTGTTTCTTTGGAGGTAACCATTGCTAACAAGAACACAATGATTGGAAACACTTCTTCTATAGCAATCAGTCTGCTGTTACAATCTATATAGTATGATAGTGATTTCACCTGACTAGTACTCATTCACACTTTCACATGTGCTGCTGATATGATTAGTCAATTATTGTTAGCTGGTCATTTTGTGTCGGGATCAAAAAACAATTAAATTAGTTTTTTGTGAAAAGTTTTTTCACAAATTATTTTACAAAAATTTCAATTATTTCAAATGGATCTGATCACTCAACACAATAATCTAGAAACAATGTGAATGAACACCACAACAGCTTAAGCTGCAAACTTTGCAAAACACAAAATGTATGTCACTGCCAAAACTTTTGGCCATGACTGCAGTCATGGTTGTAGCAGTCGTAGTGTGCGACTTCGTGTGCGTCGAATACAGCGGCAGGCGGGAAAATTAAGCATTCCCCAAGTAGGGCAAAGCAAGGTACTAATTTTTTATATTTTAGATAGTTAAAGACTTCCCAGTGATATTTTATTAAATATTGCATTAAAAAATGTACATGAGGATGTTTCCTCCAATTTAACCCACCGTTTTTTGACAACGCAGCTCGTATAAACCTTGCTGTGGGATAGAAAAACACACTTAGGATGAAATCTGAGGAATCATCAGCCTCCACTCCATAGTAATCTATATCCATGTCTCTGTAAAAGCGGGGTCCAGTGTTGACATGAGGGGGTCCACTAGCAGCGTTCACAATGTGTGTGATCCCCATATTATACAACATTGACTTGTCTCGTGCCGCAACCCTGAGAAAACACAAACACAGAGAACATCTGTAGTTCTGTACATTTTTATTCAATTTCAATTTGAATAGAAAACATAATACATACTCATTGCCAATGTACACATTAGGCCACACTTGGTTGACATGTCGAGTGGGCCGTCTGTCAGCCAACATGAAGTTCTGCATTTCGGCAACGGATGGTGTTTCATAGGCACACAGCTCCTTGAGGGACATCCTGGCCCAAAAAATATTTTAAAAAGGACATTTTTATTTGAAAATTGCAGTAAGGTATTGGATATTATCATGCTGCCTTACATGCAGTTTAGATGCATTCTCCAAAAGCCCATCAAACTAGCTGAGCCCACCTGAGGCCGTTGCTCGTGAAATCTTCTTGTTGCTAAGAGGCTAAGAGCACACTGACACTCCACTTCAGCTCTTAACATCATTAAAATGAATACTGAGGGCTTTTTATGGAATATCATTCCACTTAGGATTCCTTGACTGTTGTGGCAAATGTGTTTACAGCTCAGGTGTGGGAAAGAAAACGTGCGATGCCAGAGCCGAGAGCGATTCAGTGAGGTTAGCTTCCATAATAGCTCTCCAAAACACCAAAATGTTACTTTCTAAAAGCCTCTAAAATCTCCCCTCCTTTTGTGAACTTACATTTTGCAGCCGGTGGCCCTTTTTTCCCTCGTTCTCAGATTGCCTGCTCTTCTCTCCTTGGTCAGGGGACGTTGTCGACAGCCAGTCCACAGATATGTCTCTAGAGGCTGTTTCTTTTTTTAAATGGTGTATAATTATAAACCTCCCTGGATACAAAGAGCTCTTCCAGGTCTTAGTGGGCAGTCAGGTTTGCTTTTAGAAGACTGTCTTTCCCTAGACAATGATCTTTTGAGCATGTTTTGCACATATGGTGTATATCTTGGCTAGACTCCCAATATTGTAAATCACTCTTGCAGTGCAGATGAAGGTAAAGGTGGGTCATCAGCAGCTTTCATTGAACACATACATCTTTATCATGAGTCACTGTGCAGGGAAATACACATAATCTCACAAGGTCTCGCCAGCTGCTAGGTTAAACACTCTTGAAATCCAGATGTTCCTTTCATTTGCCTTGAGGGTGAGTCTTTGATAAATGGTGAGATCTTTGCACATGCAAGTGCAGTGACATGTTGGGTAATTGGAGCGTGTCAGATACCCCTCTCAAAGATATGCTGTCTTCTTTGCACTCCAGCTGAAAGTGTTTATAGTTAGTGCTCAAATGCTTCAGTAAATTAGGCTATATGTGTAAAGCAGGAAAAGACTTAACTAAGAGTTGTTCTTACCATGCCGGTAAAATAAGCTTTGAGCCCCATAGTAATTATGGTTTTATGAAGCTAATAAAAAGGAATTAATGGGCTGGGTGTGAAAGCCACATACACCTCTTCCTCCTCAAGATCTGCTTATTACTCACTATTATCGAAACCTTATACTGTATACGAAAGAATCACAATTACACATAGTATGTTTTCTGGATTTTAATAGACTCTTTCTTTTTCTCTTTCTAAAGTCCTTGTCCCGGTGAATCAAAAACACACTGAAGTGCATTACAGTGACTAAGCCTGGCTTTCTTTAATCTTTATTTGGAAAAGCAGTGTATATAATTTGTATTAAGTGGTCCAAATTTGCCAGTTTCAAATTGCAGTGGTAGATCCAATCCACAAATCATTCAGGCTGCTTTTCTTTTGTGGTTTTTTTAAAAGTCATGGAGACTTCCTGAATTCAAAGTAAACAGTGGTACAATAACATATCTACTGTTTAAAAATTTGGGGTCAGTAAGGTTTTTTTTAAATACTTTTATTCAGCAAAGAGGAATGCATTAAACTGATCAAAAGTGACAGTAAAAACATATCATGTAACAATTTCTATTTCAAATAAAATTGTATCAGTTTCCACAAACATGTTAGACCGCAACTGTATTCAACATTGATAAAACATTTTTTTTTAAATGCTTCTTGAGCACCAAATCAACATATTAGATTGATTTCTGAAGGATCATGTGACACTGAAAACTGGAGTAATGGCTGTTGAAAAATTCAGCTTTGACATTACAGGAATAAATTACATTTTAAAATATATTTAAACAGAAAACAGGTTAACTAATTAAACTGTTTTACTGTATTTTTGATCAAATAAATGCAAATTTCTCGAGCATAACAGACCTTTTTCAAAAGCATTTAAAAAGGTAAAAGAAAGTATGTATTTTAGTTCTGCTTTACTATTGCTGTTTCTTCAAAGTGGTTTGTTTTAGCCAAAATATATGTTGCTGCTGGGCTGATTTGTGTTTGTTCTTCTTATCCATGATATGTCAGGCTTGACAGTCTTCCCTGAGAAAACACTGACACAATGTAATCATGTACAGATGCTTCTGCTTTCCAGAGCACTTTTGTGACACTAATGTGGTCATCAACATCACCCCCTCTGTGCCTCTGGTTCTTCTACAGTCAAATCAGGAGATGACTTAACTTAGCTGAGAATATATACACACCCTTGGCTTAGCTGCTTGCGTCTGTTCTCTGTTTCTCTTCTCGACTGTTTCCATGATTTATCATCGTACACTGTATGCCAAGCAGCTAATCAGGAAGCAAAGTATTGTCTTAATTGAATGTTCTCTGAAAGCGATGTGTGTCCGGGGACTTGTGTTGGTCCTGCTCCTCTGGCTCGGCTGCACAGCTGCAGGTCACGCTGTCAGGGTGACGACAGGAAGAGCCAGTCCAGGGGAATTAGTTTCTCTCCTCGAGGTTTTTGGGGGTTAATGCTGTTTTGTTACGGTTTTGGTAGGTCGGGTTATGGGGTCCTTCAAGTACATCTGCATGATGAAATGTCATTGACAAGTGATAAAGAACAGGTTTGAATCTGTAACCTGTTGATCTAGATTTCTTTGAATGTGGTTGAACTCAACCAAAGAAGCCCGTGTTAATGTAGCATATGAAGGACAGCATATGAAAAGTAAAAGAAAAATATTATGGAAGGACACTCAGCATAAAAAAACAGCAAGATTTTAATTAATCTGATTACACAGTTGGAAGAAAACCCTGTTTGCAAACATTTCATGGCACAGCACTGCACCCTGCTGGAAACAGTCAGAAGCACAAGGGAAAGTAAAGCAAAACTACATGAATAATGTTGTACTCTAGACATTTGGCTCTGTTATTTGCAGTTGGATGAGCTTGTGGCTTTTCATAGAGCATCTGTCTTAGTATGAGAGAAATCAATGGAAATATATTACATACCATAAACTTTTTTTATTTTATTTTAGAAATTACATTTAGTTGTGCATATTTATTATAAGTATACAAGTAAAAAAAAAAATTTTAAAAAGAACTTTCAGATTTATTTTATTTGAACAAATACATATACATATTATGTTTTTTTGTTACACTTTCGAAAATACTTAACATAGGCAGATATATCTAACAGTGTAACAAATTCAATATTCAGCCCAATAGGGTCGAATGTGCAATTAAATGCAAGTATACAGTGCATTAACAAAACTGTGCATTTATACACTAAATATTCTCCAAGATAACAAAGGAACTTCTGTGAATCAATGAGCTGAATGAAACACATTATTCTGCTATTAAAACAAAAAGGTGCACTAAAACCACATCAGCGAGTGCTGGTCAGTCATTTAAACAAGGCTTTTAGGATTGAGTCAACAGAAGAGTGTTGTGCTTGGCCAGTATATTTTTCTCCAAATGTGGCTGCCAAAAGCAACGTAAAAGCTAATACTGCTCACAGAAAGGGTTTCTCTGCAGCTGAATAATAAACCACAATTCAATCATTTAATACTGCTTAATTTGGTATTCTATGCTGAATACTGACTCCACTGTTAAATATTATTCACAGTGTGAGGAGCATGTGGCACTTGTGTGCTGTGGTTCAGAGCTGCAGCTTCAATATATCATATAGACTTTCTTTAAAAACATCAAATTTCCTTCATTTACACTACATTGTACATTAAAGCCACCTATGTTAATATGACTATGCAAACACGTCAAATGTAAATTAAGTTAAAAAGTACGTATTAAAACTTTCATTCAATATGAAAGTGTTTTATAGATAAATTCTTAAACTTTATTTAATAACCTTCTAAATGTATGGAAAAGTACAAAGATGGTCTATACATACACTAAACCTGCAAGGCACAAGTTTTACTATATGAAACAATATATATACATATCGTAAATAATGTAAACATACCAATGGTGGTTCCCACCTTACCTTTTAGTTATATAAAATGAATGCATGTGCATTTGTGTGCTCATGACATTTGTGTTTTTCTGTCAGAGAATAGGACACAGCATTCGCTTTCTCTGTAGCTGAATGTCCAAATCCAGGAGAAGGCTCAAAAAGTTCCTGTTAGGATAGATTGCTCTTCGCAGTACAACTGTTTGGATGGCAGTGTGGAGAGTAAAACGCTGACACAGCATAAGGTACGCTAGAACCAGAGTGGCAGACCGACTCATTCCCATGATGCAATGAACAAGCACCTTTCCTATAGATAAAAGACACCATAACTGTCAGGAGCAGACTAATACTAAAATTGAAACTAACCACTTAATTTCCTTAAAAATAAGATATTATAATGAATTTCCGAATGAAGTTGAGTTGTTTATTAAGTTCAGAGGAAAATGAGGTATAGAGGAAATTTAGCTTTTTTTCTTGGAGTCTTTTTGTCTTAAATCACCTGCAAAAAAGACCTTTGTGTTATTTTAGTACAAAACGTAAAAATCTAAGTTCCACAATGTTGAAGGAATTGGTGGTATTGGATTGTATGTCAAATTAGTATTGATGTCATGTGTTATTTAGGATAGTAAAAGGTTGTATAAATAGTATTTAAATCAGTGTTTTAGTTTCAAAGAAGACTTCAAAATTCTCCTCAGGGCATTTAGATTGCCTTGTTTAATTTTTGCATTACATTAATATCATTGACTGTGGTCACTTACCATTCTTCTTCCTCAAGGCTTTGTGGATGAAATCAGAAGCAGGTTTAAAGTATACACTAAGATCAAATGATGAAGAGTCATCTGCTGGGATGCCATAATACACAATTGTATTGCCGTAATAACTCTGGTCCCCAATGCTGCCTTGCTTGGAATGGGCAGCATTTAAGACATGAGTGATGCCCATTTTCTTCAAAGCATTTCTATTTTGAGCAATGGCCCTATAGAAAAAGTGAAATATGTGTTATGTAATGAAACAGGGCAAACACTATGGCAGTCATTAAAAGTGATTTAGAATCCAGTTTGCTAGAAGGATGCACAGTAGGCTATACGTATGACTGAATCTTAAACAAATAAGTTACTTTGATAGAACAGCTTGTTCTCAAATCTTATTTTAATATAACAATATTATAATAAAACTAACTATAATCCACATAGACATTGCTCGCGTGCTATAAATCTTTAAATAAGCGCCATTTGCATTTAATAAGCTGCATCACCACATGATCATATAACGTTAGTAGGCTAGTACTTACACGTTTCCGATGTACAAGTTCGGCCAGACCTCGTCGACTGGATTTAGATCAAGTGTGCATGTGTCCAGAATATTCTCTAACTCCTTAATAGCCAGGAGTCCGTGTTTATTTTTCTGAGCTGTCATTCTTCAGAATTGACCCAGGTCAGATCAGTATGCCCGTGAAGATGCGTTTCTGCTGTTTTCCCCAGGCTTCAGTAGGCTATGCATAACGGGTTTGGCACGCCGTGATCCACACAAACAGGTGCTCTTTATGACGCTGTTCGGTCACACGATACCACTGAGCATCTCAGAGCTCCGCTGATGCTAGACGTCTGCGCGTACAACACATTCTGCGAGCCGCTGTGTCTGTGCCGTGCAACGGGGACCTCCTCCAGGGGGCGCCTGGTGGCTCAGAAAGTCAAAAACATCAGGTGAGTCGCATTCAAATCTTCGGATGTTTTTATCGTACTGGAAATATTTTTACGCGAAAAAATAGCCTATAATATGTTAAATATACGAATCCCAAGGCATGGTATCAGACAGCAAATGCAGATAAATTACGACGTTCGCTTACTATTATTAAATAAAATACTGTCTAGGCCAGTAATCGCAAATGTCTCTGATTGGTCCATCCTGACTAGCGCGGGGGAAAATAACAGGCACCACACACGTGTTTGTACTACATCGTCATCGGTTTAAACCTAATATTAACATTGAAAACTTTAATAGTCACTGAACTGACAATATACTTTAAAGCATTCACATTTGTTAATTATTATTTACACACTTCGTACCCCGGCTATTTAGGACAAATACTATATATTTCGTGTTCATTTCCATTCTAGCTTATTCCATTTCTGTGGCAGGACATTGTGGTCTGTTCCACAAATTAAGTTTAAAGATGATTCATCCGATGACGAGAGAACAGGACAATAAGAGACAATTGTGTTGCGTGAACATCACTGAACATTTGGAGTATTGTACTGCATAGTGGAACAAAGAGGCAAACAGAGTAACAGTGTTTGCTTTTCAGCTTGGTTTGAATACATTTGCATAGGCTTACTTCAGTTCAGTTCAAGATTTATGTCCTTAATCACTTTCGGTCAACTTCAGTTTTGATCAATCATATAAAAGATATACAGACTGTGAGGTTTAATTTGTGCTCAGTGTTGTGAGGTATTCAGGAAATAAATAGGCTACTGTTTATTAATGATCAAATAATAATAAAACAAATAAATAATTCATTTATTAGTTAAATGAAAAATGAACATTTACAGATCCCCAAATGACCCCTTTATTGACCATATATAGTACAAGTATTGCTTTGGAATTCTTACATATTAAATTAAATTTAACAGAAGTATGACATGACACAAAGCTGTTATTATAAATAAGAGGAAATGTTTATAATCATGTTAATGATAGCTGTTGATCAGCAGTAGGCCTACTGTTCAAATGTTATTAGATGCTATTTTTAATTTACAGATTTCTGGATTGCATACTTGTTTTAAAAAATTACTTTGACTGCGCCTTGTTGTTTAATTCATTGTTGAGAGTTATCAACTGCTTCAGAAATCCTCGGTTTGGATAGATCCATCTTCTTTCTTTCACTTTCAAGATTGCAATATATCATTAGGTAAGCTAAGACCAGAGCAGCTGAACGGCTCACTCCCACAGCACAATGCACAAACACTTTAGCTGTTGAAAAAATATGCTTCAATACTTTATCTATTCTCTATTATTAACTGATAAATACATTTTGAAAAATCAAAAATTAAAAAGAATTTAAAAATCCTAACAAGTGTTGTTCATGTCTAAAAATGTCATGCTGTTTTTCAAAATGGAAATTATGTTTTTTACATACCATCTGTTGTGCTGAGAGCATCATGAATGTAGCGTGCTGAAGGGTAGAAAAATGGTGAAATATCAAATGTAGGCAGGTCATTTGCTGGCACAGCATAGTACTTTACGGTTGTTCCATAAAAATCATCACTTCCTTTGCAACACATTTTACCATGTGCAGCATCCAAAACATGAGTTATACCCAGTCTCCATAGGCCATATCTGTCGTGAGACATGTACCTATATATGAAAGAATGGCATAATAAAGGGTGATTCTTTTCTTTTAATCAACACCTATGAAAAAGAGAAGTCCCACATAAATGCACTTACATGTTCCCCAGAAACAAATTAGGCCACACTTCACCGACATGGTTGCAGGATAGCTGACCCCCATGTAAAATATCCTCCAGCTCTTCAATAGAGGGACTTTCAGACAAAATTCGATCCACATTCTCCATTTTCAGGAATAACAGAAGAGCAGTGGCTTTATGAGTAGGCTACATGAGTGACATTTCCAGGTGTGGCACTTCTGCATTACACTGTTTACCCCAGTAGATGTCAGTGTATGGCCATTCATTAATTCAGCAAGTATGTCCTTTCCCAATTATTGTCAAAAGCCCTATTCAGACGGGAATAGTTTTACATGGGGTCGTTAGAGAAATTTGTGTTTCACAGACGTACTTGGTGATTTTAATCCCGTCCGAAACTGCCACGTCTGTGTTTTTCTCACACAACCTCTGTAATAATTCCAGAGCAAATTACCAACTGTTTTTCAGCAAACTCAGTGATCCTCTGAGAAAACTACACCCCTCCGAATGCGAATGTCTGTGATTGCTGGTGATATTTTTTTTCCTTGTGTGTTTTGGCCAACGCGAATTACCGTATCGCGCGCATGTTTGATATATTTGCCTCCCGGGGGTGTATTCCAGAAAGCACGGTTAATTTACCGTCAGCTAAACCCTGAACTTGCTTACTCGAGGTATCTGGTTGCAAAAACGCGTCCGGGAGTAAGTTCATTTAACTCAGAGTATGTTCCTGGTTAAGACTCAAGGCATTCTCAACAGAGCGACGAATTGAAGAGTCGCTATGGAAACGGATGCTAAGAAAAAGCGCGCCATGCTGTTTCTTTCATCTTCTTTTGTTCAATGGTCGTTTACATGCTTAGCGCATATCGCCACCTAATTGATGGTTGTGCATTCATTTTTCTTTTTTTCTGTTTAATCTTTAATCCTTGAGAATATGAATTATACAAAATGCAGATGAGCTGAAGGCCACTGTCAAAGAAACCTGGGCTTTCATAGCACCTCAGCAGTGCCACAAACTGATTACCTCCATGCCACGCAGAATTGAGGCAGTAATTAAAGCAAAAGGAGCCCCTACCAAGTATTGAGTACATGTACAGTAAATTAACATTTCCAGGAGGCCTACAATTCACTAAAAAATTTTTTTATTGGTCTTATGAAGTATTCTAATTGGTTGAGATAGTGAATTGGTGGGTTTTTGTTAAATGTGAGCCAAAATCATCACAATTAAAAGAACCAAAGACTTAAACTACTTCAGTCTGTGTGCATTGAATTTATTTAATACACGACTTTCACAATTTGAGTTGAATTACTGAAATAAATTAACTTTTCCACGACATTCTAATTTATTGAGATGCACCTGTATAATGTTGTGCGCTATCTGTCATGCCCACTGAAGGCTCGTCAGTAGATCACACGTGCGCTGAAGTGGACTGCTCCGGGGCAGGTTATCTTCAGAGAGCAAGTTGCTATGGTTACTTACATACCCTGAAAGTTACCTCCGATTTTGGAACCGAAAGCTGAGGTTATCCGCTCGCTTATCCTCAAACATACCCAGGTATGTCACATAACCTGCTTTTTGGAATACCCCCTGGCAAAGAAAAAAAAACAAAAACAAAACAATAATAAATTTATAAAAAATACTAAAGTAACCACACATTAATATGGTTTTGCTATACTAGCCATTTAGGTTCACCGTGGTATTTGTAGTAAAACTGATTATACTAATGGTAATCAATCCGAATGACTTACTTATACGCAATGCACGCATACAGAGCGCGTGATCTCCAAAACGCACAGATGTACAAGCCACAGACCCTCCCACCTCTGTAATAAACACGGATATGTTAGTCCCGTCCGAATTGGTACATGAAAATCGCAGACGTCAGGTGATAAGAATCGAAACTCGAACGTAGTTTAGAAAACTAGTCTCGTCCGAATAGGGCTTTGTGTGCCGTTATGCAGTAAATTGTCAATAAACCAAAAGTGTGTGACTGTTTTTTTGCTTTCTCAAATACTGATTATTTAAAGAGTTTATGAGTGCGGGTTGTGAAGGAACAGTATCAGTGGTCAGTGTTGGGAAGGTTACTTTATTAAAGTAGTATAACTGTAAATCACTTTTTGATTACTTTTCTAAATATGCAATGTTTTCAACTGTTAATCTTTTTGAAACATGTAAACCAGGCAGGATTAACATTACAGTAGGACTCACTCAACACTGATTACTGTCAGACTTTCAGAAATCCTTCATCACTTGAATTAGGGTTATAATAATTATTTTTTTCAAGCACAGCCACCACAAAATCAGACTTACTTTGAGATTTTTCTGAGATTAAATACAGATTTAAAACCATAACAAGGTAGTTTAATAGCTATGATACTGTTTTTGAAATCAAATCTTTGCATAGCTATGACCGGAAACACTGGCATCTAACAATGGCTTGGGAAAAAACAGTTAATCTTAAAAAATAAACATACATCAACCCAAATAGGAAATAAAACAGTTACCGAATAAGCATGTGTCCTAAACTCCTGAAACATTGGTGTCTCATATTGTAAAGCAGTCAGTGCAATGTATGAAAGATATCAATTAAATCTGTATGTGGGTGTGTGTGAAAAAAAATATTCAGATGTAACCCCCATTTTCATAAGTAGCCTAACTGTAATTTAATTACACATTTTTTTCTCAGTAAACTGTAACTGATTACAATTACATTTATTACGTAATTTAGTTACATGTAACTAGTTACTCCCCAACAGTGGTTGGTCCTTTGATACTGAGAATACGCCCCTTCATTGAACGAGTCTCTTCTGTGTTGAGTCTGAACGAGATTCAGGGCGGAACTTCGCTGAACGAGGAGTTCATAAACAAACTGAATGAACTGAAGTGTCGTTTCTGAACGAACTAAAGGAAAGATTGACCTAAATTGAGTGATTCTAGTGAATCGATTCATTGGAATGAATCAAATCCCGCTCCACTATTGGTTGCAATCTGTCAGAACGCTACACACTCAGCACTAACTGCGCCTGCGCCAGTCTTTCCTCAGCCGAGCACGCGCCTTCCGTGTCCAAACGCTCGCGCTTCGAGTTTTCCCGCAACATCCTCGAGAAGTTAGTAACGAGAGACCCGAGCGACCGTTGATTGAGGCGCGACAAACGTCCTTCTTAACACCACGAGCAGCGTCCACTGGCCTGCGGGTGTGCTGTGGTTTGTTTAATCGGTTTTATCGAAACAGTTTTGGTTGGCTAAGCTGTAAAACACACCCCTCCCGTGAGGAGTAGACTGAGCTCAGACAGGAGTTTGATCATCAGCATCCACTCCGCATTTTTACGGTGTGCTAGCTACCTATCCGCCTCCACCCTTATGGATTTTACTGTATCGTAGTTTTTTTTAAACGACACATTTGAATACGCGATGCTTGTTTGACTAGGAAGCTGTATTTTTTAATAGACGGGTGAGGTAAATACAGACGATCACACACATGTAGCCGTTGTGAAGCTAGCTGAGGAAGTGGACTGTTACTTTCCCATCCCTGTTTGGTGGAAGGAGTCGCTCGGCTTGATGATTCACTATTATGGAGACGCGAAATGCCACATAAAGGTTGATCTCTGCCTCTTCCAGAGAGACTAATATCTTCGCCATCATTTACAGGATTAACGTTACTTGGCGCTGTCTGCAACTGTATAGTTAAATGAGTTAGCTGGGGATCGATCATTCACAGCTAGCCCATTAGTCAACTCCCCAAGTGATTCGTTTAGTACAGTATTAAGTTTATGTCTTGTCAGTCTTTTTGTTTTTTTCACCGATAGTCATTTAGATTGCGTTTAGAAAATGTCCTTTTTCAATTTTCGGAAGATATTTAAGCTGGGCACGGAGAAGAAGAAGAAACAATACGAGCACGTTCACAGAGACAGCAACCCAGAGGAGGTTTGGGAGATCGTGGGAGAACTTGGGGATGGAGCCTTTGGGAAAGTCTACAAGGTAAATATCAACCAGTAGGTGATTGTGTCACCTGGGTGTATTTTTTATTTCTTCCTAGCTCTACTGATTAATCTTAAAGGTACACATTCAAAATTATTTATTTACCTTTATGTCTTTACTCTTTACAAACATTTATGGCTTTGTTTTTAATCTGTGGAACACATAAGGAGATGTTGTGAAGGACTGACAGCACCAGTCTCCATTCAATTGCATCTCTTTCCATACAATGAAAGTGAATGGTGACTGGGAGTCATTTTGACTGACATCTAATGTAGTGTTCCATTAGATTTCAATTGAATGGTGAACCCCAGCATTAACTGATTCCAGGTCTGTTCTTATGGTAACAAATTTCTTTATTTCGGCCTGTTTCTTGCACATTGTGGTGCATATCATCAGACTGACAAAATGAGACCTGAAAGGTCATTTGAGTTCAGAGATACAATTATACACATTTAAAGGGATTGTTTACCCAAAAATGAAAATTCACAAAAGAAGATATTTTGAAGAATGTTGGTAACTAGTGGAAAAAATAATATGGAAGTCAATGGGGACCACACATTGGGCCTCATTCATGAAACACAAGCGGACCGAATTTTTGTGTCAAACGTTCGTAAAGCTGTTCTGACGTAAACTTTCAAATTCATGAAAATGTTTGTATTTTCAAAATGTTAGTTGGTACGAAAGAAATTTACACCTGCTCCCTACCACGTGTAAATGGTGCGTAAAACGTTCTGTTCATTTTGGCAAACTGATGACACTGAATTTTAATGCCCTGCCATTATAATATTTTACAAGTTTTTTTATTTTATTTTTTGTAGCTGAGAGTTGATAAACTGTTTAACTTTTTGTAAAATGCAGCACAGCACATGTCACTGTAGGTGCATCACGCCATATCGGAATTCCCGTAATTACGAGATTCCAACTTGTAAA